TGCACAGATGAACCTGATTTTGGTGGTTCGGGCTCTTTGACCTTTGTGAAGGGGTACCTGCCTTTTTTAGGGGGAGGATCAAACTAAATTAGTATTTTCCTAATTACACAAATGATAGGGCTTATTTAAAATAAAACAAATAAACCTTAGAAAAGTGAAAAGAAAGCAAACATGTCCCCCAGCACCCCCCAAGACAGCTGTGTGGGTCTCAGGAGAAGCAGAAAACAAGTGTAGTGGTTGCAAGTGTGGGAATCAGAGAGCCTGCATTCGAGCCCTCTCTCTCTTCCTAACATTGTGAGCTTGGGCAGATGCCCTCCTCTCTGAGCCTCAGCTTCTCCATCTGTAAAATGGGGATAATGGTAGGAGCACTTCCCTCAAAGCATGGTGAGGCTTAAATGAAGTAAAACCTATAAAGGGCTTACAGGTGAAACGGAGGCGCAGAGAGGGTAAGTAAGCACTTTGCCCAGGGACACACAGCTTGTACATGTCAGAGTTGACTTCACTGCAGACCTGGTGTGCATTGCCTCCTCACCACATTCCTCAATCATGAGTCATCTCTCTGGCGTCCCCCACAAGCCACCGTGGCTTCCAATGACCCCCGAGGCCCTGCTGGTGGTCAAGAGATGAGCCATCAGAGTTTGTCCAGAGGACAGACTTCTCCCTTGCTGATTGGGAGAGACCCTGGGGCGAAGGCCAGCTCTGCTGTGTGACCTTAACAAGTCATCTAACCTCTCTGAGCCACATCCTTCTCACCCTTCGTGGGGTTAAATGAGTCAATCCACCCGCCCTTTGCGACAGGGAGGGATGTTTAGTTTGCTCACAACTCAGCGCTTCAGGGCCTGAGTTTATTGCTTCCAAATATCCAAAGTGCAAAATGCCCACATTACATGGTCCCATGTCAGCCCCCATTTTAACCTTTGTGATTTATGGACGTTGAAAATAAGAGGGCCTGCCCCATCAGAGGGGCAGGAGTGAGGGCTCCTCTGTTTAGAAGTCTCCGCTGGTTTGAAAGCTCGCCCAGGCGGTCTCAGGTGGAAACCCAGCATGAGGACAAGGACTGGCAAAGTGATCAGAACTCAAGGGGGGAGTGTGGGGTGGGGACCAGCGGAGCTCGGCCGTGCACCGGGGACAAGCCACCACACTCGGTGCCTCAGTTTCCTCATCCACAGAGGAGGCCAGGCTGGCCCAGTGCCCGTCACCCAGTGGGCTTCCATCAGGGGTAGCTCTTTAGAGAGGTGCAGATCAGAATTGAAGGGGGCGGGATAGACGGAACGCAGAGTGGACAAACCGCTGCCCACCGCCAGGAGACTCCCCTGCGGGCCTGGGAGAGCGACCTGGGCTCCGGGCAGAGCCCCTGGCATGCGGGCGCCCTGGGACATCGCCCACGCCTGCACTCGACTCTGGAAGTGCCCTGGCTTTTCTGCCCCTCTCTGCAAAGTGCAGACAATCCGCAGCGAAGGAAGGCGCAGGGGCCACGCTGGCTTAGTCTGTGATCTGTGACAATTTGCGTCTCAGCTTCACTGCCCACCGGTGGGGGCACTAGGGGCAGGTCGGGCCCCCTCTCTGCACCTTGGTTGTGTCTATGAAATAGAGTCTCTCAAAGAGATTGCAAGGACTAACTGAAAGTATGTGCTTGTGTTTCTGTGCATACAATTTCCATTTGTATATCTTCAATCATGTATATTTAGATATAAGTGCATCATATAATCTACATGTGAATATCATTATAATATAAATGAAATTATGCAACTGATTATTGAGGAACAAGTCATCTTCCAATCTTAGAGCAGCAAAAATCCTTCATTTCACTCCTGACTGCAGGGGGGGGCCGGCTCAGTGGGAACAGCCCGCCTCTGCTCCGGGAGGCATCGCTGAGACGGCTCAGCTGGGGCTGGAGGATCCCAAGTTGGTGTGCCCTCATGGCTGGCGAGCTGGTGCTGCTGGCAGTTCCTCTCCATGTGGGCCTCTCCACAGGCTGCTTGGGCTTCCTCACAGCATGGTGGCTGGGTTCCAAGAGTAACCCTTGAAGACAAAATAGAAGCCGAGCACGTCCTAGGCTCCTCAAGCAAGCTCACAGCGTCACCTCTGCTCGAGCCTATTAACCAGGCGGTCCCAGAGCCCAGATTCAAGATGATGGGCATAGTCCCCTTCTCTAGAGGAAAGGCACTTGGAGGCCAACATTTACTACTCCCACCGCATTCAGAACAGCTCAGTAAGCCCGAGTCATTACTATACGGAGAAAGCGTCCGCAGGTGATAGAAGCCACTACAGCTGAGGACGTGGTCCCCTCCTTCCCTGCGGGAGAAAGGGGCCGGCAGCCAGGTAGGCAGCACCCATCAAAGAATGCTTCCGGGAAATGATTACCTGTTCACCTACACTCTACCCTCTCACCTGCTGCATGCGTGGGGTTCTATGTAAGACTTATTTTAAAGAAAGGTGTCCCAGGAACCCCTGCCCCAAGGAGAAAACCATTTTGAAAATGAGTGGAGTCCCTTAAGTTTTAGGGGCAGCTATTCTATTTGGAACACAGCTTAGATTAGATCCAGGTGAAGGGGAAGTCAGTTTAGCAACACCCATTTGGTTCTTTGCGCTGGGGGGTAGGGAGGGTGAACATTCTGAAGATCATCTGTCAGCCAGGTGCTCCCTGGGGGCGGTGGGGGAGGGCAGGTGGTGATGTGTGGGAATGCTCCCAGCAAGATGGGAAGAGGTGAAGGGAAGGGATCTTCACTTTTGCTCCTTTGGCAAAAGCTTCATTATCTCCTGGCAAAGAAGATGGCCTGGCCCTGGTGCGTTAAAATGCAGGACCGCAGGGATGGTCACGGTGTCCGAGGGTGTGGATGGAGAGTGCTTTCACCACGTGACCACCCCCAGTCCTGGCTTCTCCTCCTTTTAATTGTTCCCATCTGACATGTGAGTCCTCTCTCCAATCTCTCTGCCAAATGTAAGCTCTTTTGTGGTTTTAGCTGCACTGGCTCTTTTCTGGGGTCCTCAGCCTCTCATTTGCCGTGTTGTGTCATCAGCTTCTTTCTCCTGTGGTGTCTGGGGCGAGGTCTGTGTGGGTCGCTGGGTGAGATGCAGAGGCCAAGTGATTCCCAAAGGACACTGGGAGGGCAGAGACCCAGAGTGGCGGGCAGGACCCCTGCCCTGGAATGGGGCTGCCGGCTGGGCTTTGAGGATGGGCATGAACGGCGCTGTCCTTGCTCTCCTGCTCCCGGAGAGAGTGATGGAGGAAAGCAAGCACCAGGTTTCCCTGGGCCTGGGCCTGGGTTTGGAACCCTGAACAAGTCCCATCAGCCTTTGGGGACAGCCTTGTTTCTAGTGGTTCAGCAGGTAAGGAATTCTTACCACAAGGCTGAGCTCTCGCCCACTGGGTGCCTTCAGCCCGGAGGGCCCGGGTGTGAGAAGTGGGTGCAGGAGTGGAAAGAACACTGGCTTTGCAGCAATGATCTCTATCGGGTGCAGCGCAGTTCTGCCAGAATGGGCTGTGGGACCAGGTCAGGGGAACCACTTTGTCCTGATCTGCCGTCTTCCCATTTGTAATGGTGGGGAGAACATTACTTCCCACTTCACAGGGCTGAGGCAGTGGCTGCTGGGGCATCAGCAAGAAGATGCCTGGGCCCGGCCAGCTGGCCGCGCATTCCACCCGTTTTATTGGGCAGTGTGATGGGATTTAGGGAAATCTGTGGAAGGAAAAGGCGGTGGGAGAGACTGGGTACCAAAAGCTTGGGTTTCCTCCTGAAGATGACTCTTTTCCAGGTGATAAAACTGGATTTTCTATAAACTTCCCTTCCCTTAGAAGCGTTGGCGGTGGAAATGGGGCTCTTCACGGAGTCACAAGAAAAGCATTTTTGGGAGCCCTGCCTGGGAGGGTGAGGTGCAGCGGTAAGACTTATTGACGTGAAAATAAAGGACCTCTCCAGGCCCGTGTCTCCTCCATCCTGCTGTGGAAGGCCAGCCTTGTCTTCACCAAGCCCGGAAGAGCCAGGTCAGAGAGGTGCGCCATGACCCAGCATCGGGAGGGCATCCGACGCGGCTGGAGTTGAGTCTAGTCCAGGGGTGGGCAAACTTTTTGACTCGAGGGCCACAATGGGTTCTTAAACTGGACCGGAGGGCCGGAACAAAAGCATGGATGGAGTGTTTGTGTGAACTAATATAAATTCAAAGTAAACATCATTACATAAAAGGGTACGGTCTTTTATTTCAATAGTTTTATTCATTTCAAACGGGCTGGATCCGGCCCGCGGGCCGTAGTTTGCCCACAGCTGGCTCTAGTCCGTGCCAGCGCTCAGTCCAGCTGTCTCTGTCCCCATCTGGCGAGCTTAGTGTCTGCTGCCGCTGCGCTCTGGCTGGGGCTGTGCGGCCATACAGAGGCCAAGCTTGGGCCTGTGCGGCTGCCCTCGTGCACAGCAGCAATGACCTGTGCGTGGAGCCCCACGGCTGCTAGGGCTACTACGGGGAGAACATGCGCAAATAGGCCAACAAATGAGCAAATGCACACTGTGAGCCAGACCTCTGTTAGGCTTGGGAAAAAGCCGGCTTCCTTTCAAACTAACCAATGTCTTTCCTAATGCTTCCCAGGCTTGTGCTGGTCCTTCCCCATCCGATCTCTTTCCTAGATCTTCTGGGGTTTCGTGCCCTCATCCAATCCGATCCTTTCCTCAGGCTAGATACCTGCTTTTTATGGCAGCCATCTGGGCTCCTGTTGCGTATGTGGCAGGCAAAGGACTCCTCTCCCTCCCCTCCCCGGCTCCCGGCTGATGGCGGGCTGTCCCCTGGGAGATTGGGAGGTGGGTCTTCCAGGGATTACGTCCCCTTTGGCAGAGGATGCGGCTTCCCCTGGTGTGTCTGAAGCTGTACCTTCCAGACGTCATTACACTCAGCCAGTCTAGCTCTCCTCCTTTTTAAATACTTTTTATTGATTTCAGTGGGGGGGGGGGGGTAAGGGGGGGAGAGATACAGAAACCAACCAATGATGAGAGAGAATCATTGACCAGCTGCCTCCTCCACGCCCCACACTGGGGAACCAGCCCAAAGCCCGGGCATGTGCCCTGACCGGGAATCAAACCATGACCTCCTGGTTCATAGGTGAATGCTCAACCACTGAGCTATGCCAGCCGGGTTCCCTTCTCTTTTGTTAACTCCTAGTTGCCTATGCTAACAGTACGACATGAATTGGGTGCCAGCTCCCAAACTCCACGGAAAGGCAACGAACCTTCCATGCTGATTTATATATAGCTAAGGTTTGCTGCATTAGGCAGCTTTGAAGAGAGTAATACTCACTAAGTGCATGAAATGCACTAGTCAACTTTCCTACTTGGAGAATATTCTTCAGATGGCTCATCTTGGGGTCATTGGATTCTGCACCTGTTAAAATCCGACCTTCTGAGAGGGAACAAAGGAATAAAGTCCTTAAATTCAGGGTCTTGCCTATGCTGCCCTTCCCAATGATAAAACATGCCCTGGTATTACCTCCAAATCCTTTTGTTTCTTCTTGTCTATTAAATTAGCTGGGTTTTATTTTGATGTGTGGTATGAAATCCATTGCTCTATTCACCCTTCAAAACACCAGCTAGTAGCTCTCATTTCATTTCTTAAGAAGCAAGCTCTCTCCGCTTTGAGATTACTCTTCTATTCTAGATCCCACCCACTTGGAAACTGTTCCACTGGGGCGCCGATTCGCCAGTACCATGCTGCTTTAAGCACTGAAGCTGTAGAGTAGGTTTTGACATCCGCCTTCTCAAGTCCCATGAAAACATTCTTTGGGATTTTGATGGTCACGTATAGAATATCTTACTACATGGAGATATCTTTATAATATTGAAATTTTTCATCTAGAGCACAGCATGCATCTTTATTCAGATCTTTCATATTTTTAAGGAAAACTTTATAATTTTAGCCATGTGAACCCTGGACTGTACATTACGTGTACCCCCAAGTTATTCGTTTTGGTTGCTACTGCATAAAAAACAAAATTTTCGGTACGTTACTAATACTATATGGGAAGGTTGCTGATGTATATGCTTCCCGTTTTGGATTTTGAGGACTGTTCAACATGAAATAAAAATCCTCTTTAGCTGAAGTAAGTTTTGTCTACTTTCCCCATCACTTCATACTTTTCACCTCTATCGTCTTTGTGCTAGTTCCAGGAAGAATCATGTGGCTCATCTCCCAACTAAGTGTATCTGCGTCTATTCTGCCTGCAGTGTGACTACTTTTTATTTTATGGTGTTTTTAACTTCTAAGAATTGCTTTTTTTCCTTACCAGTTTATTCTCTTTGTAATGGCTATGATAGCCTTCTAATCACCTTCTGATTCCTGTACTGCCATCTCCACAAGGGAGAGATACTGTTTCAAGATGCTGGTTTTCCTCAATGATTGCAGGTTCCTTATTGTCTGTTCAGATCTGTAGAGAAGGGCCCAGGGAGCAGTGCTGGCATCCTCCTCTCTCCAAGCAGGAATCCTGTCACGGGATATTTACACACACACACACACACACACACATTGGTTGTGGAGGTCTGTGCACTGACACTGCCTTCTGCAGCTGAGAGGAACCCCCGCCCCCCTGTTTTTTGTTAATCCTTACCCAAGGATATTTTTCCATTGATTTTGAGAGTGGGAGAGACAGAAAGAGTGACACACCAATTGGTTGCCTCCTACACACACCCTGACCAGGGCAGGGATCGACCCTGCAACCAAGGCACGTGCCTTTGATCAGAATCGAACCCGGACCCTTCAGATCTCGGGCCAACGCTCTATCCATTGAGCCAAACCGGCCAGGGCTCTCCATGTTATGAATGTTGGCTTGTCTTGCCCTCCCTGTGTCAGCTGCGGCTTTGCCACTGTCTCTTCTCCAGTTTTCTCACCTTCTTGCTGTCTTCTCTCCTCCACACCATGTTGAATATAAATGTAGAATCACACATTTTTATTTTTAAAAAACATCTTTACCTATCCTGCTCAACGCTTTCCCTTTCTGCCTACTTTCAGCAAGCTGTCCTCTGATAGTGATCTAGCCCACAGGGTCTTTGATATCAGAGCTCAGGATTTCCTGTGTACTTCGAGATCAGCACAGAGAAGGTAAAACACTGACACGATTTTTTCATAGAAAAGTGGAAACTGTTCTCTCAGACTTCTCAGTACAGAGCAGGTGTTGCCTGAAATCCACTTGTTGCCTGGAGCCAATTTTTTTCATAAATGCTCTTCCTTCACGTCTCATGTGTCAGACCCTTTCACTTTGAGAGTCTCTGAAAGGCCCCACCCATGTTGATCTGTTTTCTCTTTATTCAACTGTATTCAGACTGTGTATTTCCTAGAAACTGGCCAGTGGGTTCTCCGTAGATGCTGCTTTTCTACCTGTGAATCGTCACACTTTCTCCCAGATCTCAACGGAAGGGATTGTTCCAGTTCAATGGCCCAGCCATCTGAGGGCTGGGAGGAGCCGGCCGTGGCTTACCGGGCAGGGGAACATAGGTGGTGCGTGCCTTCTTCTGTCTGGAGTAAACTCCATAGCCAGGGGCCCCTCTGGAGCAGAAATGGCTGCTTCACATCTTCATAAACATGCCCTCCAGCAAGCTCAGTGCTGTGGTCACCCCTGCCCACATCCACCAGGTCTTAGCATCCGTGACAACTTTTGTCACCTGGGAAATGGCCATCGCTACCATCCCTGATACCCCTCAGGCCCGGGCCTGCTGCTGCCGCCTCAGACTCTTGCTCACAATGCAAGGACATGAGACAGGACCTCAGGTTAGTCCTGAGTTCTGCCCCATTGGAGCTGCTCTTCCCAGTCTGAGAGGTGATCGAGGGGGTCTCTGGCTGGCTGAGCCATATGACCCCCCACAAAAGTACACAATCATGAGCACTTGCCACATGCAGACCACACATTTTTGAGGCATTATCTCATCTAGCCTTCACAGATCTAAGACCATCTGTAGATGAGCAAATAGAGTGCGGAGCGAAGTGACTGCCGTGGCACAGCATACCTAACGCTGGCAAAACTAATGCCCCCACCAAATGTTTGTTTCTGAAGCTCACATTGCTAAGCCTAGCTGTTTTAAAACTGCAGAGAAGAAAGACTGAAAATAAATAAAAGGTGGTATCAATCAAGGCTGCTTAAATGGTGGGGTGATGGGCGACACCCCTTTATACTTCTGATATTCCAAAATTCCCACAATGGCTATGTTTACTTTTATAAACAGGAAAAAATCTAAGTGATGGAGACCAGTGAAGCTCCAAAGAAACAGACTGTGAGAACTGGTCAGGTGTTACAGACGCCAAAGGGTTTGTCCTAAAGATGAAGCAGCGGAAACACGCATAAGCCACGTGACTAGCACGCAGCACAGGAACCGAGCAGAGACCACAGTGGAACCTGCGCTTCTGGGCTCCCAGAGGCCAGCACTCACTGTGTTTCTGGAAACTGTGCAGCTGCAGATTTGGCACGAGGCAAACCAGTGGCAGAGCTCACCACCATTTAGGAAAATACAGGACGGGACTCACACATCGACAGCAGCCCGTATGTCTATATTTCTCAGCATGTTGTCAAGTGGTCATTTTCCATTCTTCAACCTCATTATCATCATGTAAATTATACAATTATGATTCCGACAAGTACTTGAGTCTTGGGAACAAAAAGCTGGGTCCCTCAGCACTTGTCCTGCAATCTTCCTGGCGGCTCTGAGGAAGCCTGTCCCGGCCTGCCCGAGGCAGGACAGGGGGTAAAAGGTGGGCCCAGGCTGCTACGTTGGGGGGACTTATATTTCAGGCACGTTGTCTTTAGTTTTCCTTATACTACTTTCCCACAAATATAACATGATGAAACTCATTCAGATCTGTGTATCATTCATCTGGATTATTCTGGCTGTGAGTGACAGAATACCCAAGCAACCTGGCTTAACCAAGAGGGACCACTATTGATGGGTGTAACGCCGTTCACGGCAGGCTGGCGTATGCACAACTGGACACAGGGCGTCGGGCGGTATCATCATGCTCTCCTTTCCCTCTCTGGCTTAGGTGAATCCATCCACATGTTAGTTTCCCGAGCTGTTATGTATGTGCCAGGACTTGTTCGCAGCTGGGGCACAGCAGGAATGAAGAAGATCGGCAGTGACACATTTCCTGCTCTGGAGTGCTAGTCAACAGTGAAAACGTCAACAAAAACCAAACAAGAACATGCCAAATACAAGAGGTATTCTGGGAAAAAAGAAAAACTAAACAAAAGGAAACAGTGAGGAGTTAGGATGATCAGCTCGCTACTCTGGGTTGGGTGGCCAGAGTCGACCTCTGACATCCCTGCTGAGCGCCTAGTGACAAAACAAAACCAGCCCTGCAGACGAGGGACGACAGTTCAGGCCAAGAGAGAGGAAGCCCAGAGGTCCCAAGGCAGGGAAGGTCCTGGTCCGTTTTAAGGTATTTGTCTACTCTCATTTTGTTCACGACAGCTTGGAAAAGGAGTCTGCATTTAATGAACAAATCTAAGGATGGTGAAACCTCGTTGAAAGTGGAGTCCAGAAGCTGGAACATGCCACTCTATGCACACTACTGACCCCAACAGGAGGGACCACCCCGCATCTCCCATGGCATGATTCTACTTGCTGCCTCAGCAGGAGGAAGAAGGATTCCGTCTGGCCTAGTGACAGCTCAGCCAATGAAAAGTCACGACACTTCCATCTTTCAGTTTCCTCCAATGGGCTCTTCGTTTACAACAGCTCCTCCCAAGTCCACAAAAGAGCATTCCTCTCCTTTGTTTCTCAAGGCTTTCACATGGTTTGCCATTAGACCCTTTGTCCCGAATTACAATTCTTTGTTGTTCCTAAATAGTCCCATTTTGCTAGAGAAATACCTATTTGGATAGATTTCCTTAGAGAAATATCTATTTGGATAGATTTTCTTAGAGAAATATCTGTCTATTTGGATAGATTTTCTTTCCGAAGTCTCCACAGTATTTTCATTGTAAAACCAAAAAGGAAATGTTTTTTCCAAGGGAGACTGAGTACCTTAAGAATATTTTCTTGAAAGTTCGTGCAAGGCCTGGCCTCTTGAGGCATAATAATGTACTTAAAATACACAGTAAGGCCCCCTGGTGAAAAAATAAAATTTCCAATGCGTGTACATTTGGAAAAATAAAACCTCCACTTAAATGCTTATTTTGACGTTGTGCCCAGGATCAATTGCAAAAGTGCTTCTGTTTAGAAAGCATAGTTCAGCCAAAATCCAGCTTGTTTTTTAGGAACAAGGAACTAGAGGAAGAAACTCGGAGAACATAGGCATTGGGCAAATGGGAGTGCGAGAGCGCTTGCGGACTCTGCCTGTGATACAGGCCTGCATGACTCAGTCCCTAAAACCACTGTCTCCTACGAGCCAGCGCTTCCTGCTGTGTGCGGGGCCGCTGGCCGAGCGCAGAGCGAAGCCCAGGGGGAGGAGGAGGGCTGGAAAGGTAAGGCGAGGACAGAGGGGAGACCGCTCCACCAACGGTCCATGTCGCACCAGCTCTCCATTTCCGACACCAGGACTGAGCTGAGACAAGCGGCTTGTGCCCAGGAGGCGGAGGTGCCTGGCTTCTGCGATGTGAATGCAGCTTTCCCTCCAGCAGTGCCGCGCAGGGTCCTGGGGCACGAGCGCGTCCTGGTCTGCCCCACGGTGCTCCTGCGTCTGGTCCTGCCGGGGCCTCAGACTCTTCTAATCCACTGTCACCACTTACTCCCACTCGCTTATTGCTCATTGGTCCCCTAAACCCTCCAACGGCGGTCTCCCCAGAGAACCAGCATGGCTATGCCATCCAGTGGGCCGAGGACCATGATAAACAGAACTGAATCCATGGGGCGCTCAGCCTCCCGAGAGTAGGAAGTGTACTGGTCAACTTCCCTCCTCGTCAGAAGATCACCGGGAGGCAGGGCCTGCGGCTGTGACTTCCTAGAAAGAACGAACCAGGTCAAAGCAGCTCGTGTAGCAGCAGTTGGGCCGCATCCTACCATGCAGGCCTCTGGAGGTCAGGTTGTCACTGACGGTCAATGGTCTGGGTGCGGCTCTCTAGCATGGCCACCTGCCAGGTCACTGGCCCTCTGCTGCCGGGCCAGCGCCACCTTCAGGGTGTTGGCACCCAGATGTAAGCCCTGTAAGCAGGAGAGGGCCTGCTGGGCAGCGGCTGGGTCCTGGAAATGGAGGAAGGCCCTGTGCTGTGGGCCCTGCCAGGTGAGCCGCAGTGGGGCTGCGCCCCGCTCGCGGAGGGCTCTCTTCAGCTCACTCACTCGCGTGTCCCGGGGGAGGTTCCCCACGTAAACAGTGTCGGAAGGCACATCCTCCCCCCGCGGGGAACTTGCCTCCGGCGGGGCTGGGTCCCCGGGTCTTCTTACAGCGCCTGGCGGAGCTGCGTGCTGGCTGCGGGCTTCTAGGGGTGGGCGCTCATCCTGAAGCGTGACGTCTCTCCCGGCCTGCTTCTCTCGGGAGCGAAGGCTTCTGAGTACTGGGATTCTTCCCATCATCGCACAGCTGACCTGAAAAAGTAAAGCAGTTCCAGCGACTCAGGGCGTCCAAAAGGGACCACGACTTGGTCAGGAGGGCGGAGATGGGAATCCCACAGGGGCCTCTGCCACACGTGCTCTCGGCAGCGTCTTATCTGCACGGTAAGCATGAGCCGTGTGATGTGGGGCCCCACTCCCTTACTCAGCAGCTCTGAGCCCTGGCTGAGGGCGTCCCACAGCAGCTGGCAAGAATGGCAGCTCTCTCTGTTCTCCCAGAGGCCCAGGAAGCAGAGAACCGAGGGCCTCCCGCACAGAGGGGGCAGCTGAGGTCACTAGTGTGAGGGTCACAGGGTCACAAATGGCATGTCCCCTGCTGGCTCCCCAGGATAATGGTTTTCTTGCCTCCATACCTGTCCCCTCCCCCTGACGATGCCATTGGGCAGGATGAGGGCTGTAAGAGGCCACAGGGAGCCCCTCCTCCTGCTCCCCACCCCCCACTGAAGGAGCATTTCTCAGAGAAATGTGTCACTGACAACGTGGAAACAAGGCAAATCGGAAATAGAACAGTTTCAGCAATGAGTCTAAAATAACAAATACCACACACACACACACACACACTCACACACACTCACACACACACTCACACGCACACGCACACACTCACACACACACTCACACGCACACACTCACTCACACACTCACACGCACACACTCACTCACACACACACACACTCACACACACTCACACGCACACACTCACACACACACTCACGCACACACTCACACACACACTCACACGCACACACTCACTCACACGCACACACTCACACACACACACACACACACAGTGAAGCCTCAATGGACAGGACTTCTATACAAAGGACATTTTTGGCTTTTTGGCCTAATCAATCAACAGATAATTCCTAAAACCTACAACACAGGAAAGGCAGGTGTCCCAGTAAATGAGGCTCAAAGAAGAGCTGCCTGAACAGGCTGGAACTGCCTCTGCGGGCCTGCAGTGTGGAGACCGCTGGCTGTCCTGCTGGGGCAGGGACACGGGGGCTGCCCGCGGGTCCGGCTGAGCCTGGACCACTGAGCTGGGGCAGAATTGGTCTCATATTGTCAGAGGAATCAGGAGGCAGAAGAGGAACAGAAAAACACTCTTTAGTCCTTTTCACAATCCTCGTTCTTTTGTTGTTGTTAACCCTCACCTGAGGATATCTTTTCCATTGATTTTTAGAGAGTGGAAGGGAGGGAGGGAGGGAGGCGGGAGAGAGAGAGGGAGAGAAACATCGATGTGAGAGACACAGTGAGTGGTTGCCTCCTGTACGCTCTCTGACCCAGGCCAGGGATCAAACTGCAACCCAGGTATGTACGTGCCTTGACCAGGAATCAAACTCAAGACCCTTCTGTGCTCGGGCTGATGCTCTATCCACTGAGCACACCAGCCAGAGCAACCCTCATTCTTTAGTGATGCTTTCTGTCATTCTTTTGGGCATGAAGCTTGTAAGTGATTAGTTACAAAGAGGCAAGCAATGTTCAGGCACCGGCTTCCCCCAGGCGTGGGCATGTCAGAGTACAGATCAGCCCATGAGGAGACAGGTGCAAAAAAATAAATAGTTTTTTTAAAAAAATTGTATGTATTGATTTAGAGAGAGAGAAGAGGGGATGGGGGAGAAAGGGGGGGGGAGAGAGAACTGATTTGTTGTTCCACTTATCCATGCATTCATTGTTGATTCTTTTTTTTTTTAAAAAAAATATATTTTATTGGTTTTTTTACAGAGAGGAAGGGAGAGGGATAGAGTTAGAAACATTGATGAGAGAGAAAAATCGATCAGCTGCCTCCTGCACACTCCCTACTGGGGATGTGCCCGCAACCAAGGTACATGCCCTTGACCAGAATCGAACCTGCGACCCTTGAGTCTGCAGGCCGACGCTCTATCCATTGAGCCAAACCGGTTAGGGCTCATTGTTGATTCTTGTATGTGCCTTGACCGGGGATCAAACCTGCTCCCTTGGTCTGTTGGGATGACACTCTAAACAACTGAGCTATTCCAGGACAAAAATAGTTTGACTAGCATCAGTGTTCTCGTTATATTCAGAATCATATGTAACTTAGAGCGGCGGTTCTTATCCTAGGCAGGAACCTTTGAGAGAAGTTGGGGTTCCCTCCCTGGGACTCTCCCACAATTCTGTGTACAAGTCCACAATGTCTGTTCATGGACTTCCAAACCACAAGAAGTGTTCAGGCCTCAGGTTACAACTCAGTGAATTAGAGTAAGATTTACAGAAACACAAGCACCTAAGAACAGCCTAGCGCCTTCTTGCAGACTTCATTTAGTACCTGGTCTAAGTAACACTCCCACCTCAGCAAAGACCTCTGTGGGTCAGAACCCTCTCCGAGTGGACACCAGCCTTGCTCCCCGGCAAAGCAAATTTGATTTTCTTTTTTAAAAAAATGTATTGGTTTTTCATTTTTTAAATATTTGTTGTATTGATTTCAGAAAGGAAGGGAGAGATAGAAACATCAATGATGAGAGAGAATCATCAATTGGCTGCCTCCTGCACGCCCCCCAGTGGGGATCGAGCCTGCAACCTGGGCATGTGCCCCTCGCCGGAATCGAACCTGGGATCCTTCAGTCCACAGGCTGATGCTTTATCCACTGAGCCAAACCGGCCAGGGCTTGATTTTCTTTTACATGCTACTATCACGCTCCACCGAAGCACGCGCTATCAGTCACTTAGAGAAGCCTCTGCGAGCAGCACTGGTCCTTCCGGGTCTTCAGAATGGCACACAAACTCAGCTGCCATGGAAAGGGTGCAGACAGGCTTGCTCCTTCTAATGTTGCCCATTGTTCAGACAGAAGGAAAAAATCATGTCTGTGCCATGGGATCCCCACAAGATGTGACTACTCTTTTCTAATCGACAGGAACTTTTGCCCACTGTCCCTCCAAAATTCTTTTGAACTGATTCATCAAAAGGTGATTAAACTCACAGACCTAGAGGCTCTGGGTCCCAAAAAAATCCCGGAGATTATCTCAGTCCAGCCAACTCGACTCCTTCCCATGTCCCCGCTCTACCTTCCTAAGGAGTTCAGATTCTTGTGTTCTTTCCGAATATTTAAAAGCTGACTTAAACTAGTCATAATTAGATTCTTAAGTTACTAGATCTGGTGTTTAGAAAGGATGATCAACAGCTGCAATTACAATCAGGGGAAAAGTCTGCCTAAACGGATACATGGAAGCGCTAAATGTTAGTCCACTGCAAGCAGCAGCAGCGGGAACCACAGGCCTCAGCAGCCCCTGCCGATGGGCCGGGTGAGGGTGCCCCCCCTCGCGTGCTGTAACTTCTGTGGGTTTGGCCCGATGGAACCACAGAGCTCCCTCAGGCAGAAGTAAGTGTTCTCGGGGCAAGGCTCTACACTCGGGCAGCAGAAATTCATTTTAAAACATGTCACATGAAACAAAAACACATCCTGCTGTGCAAACCCCAGGGCCAGCACTGTACCACCTGCAACCAGCTGGAGAATAATGAAACACTTTAACCCGCAGCACACACTAGCGGGAAGTCTACAGCACCCTCGCACAGGCACGTGCAAAGGGCCTTTAGAAACTGGAATGCACAAATGCGTGCTTTTACGTAAAATTGCTTGCTTCAAGAGCAAGATGTCTATTGGGTAAAAGGAATGACAAGCTAACGTCAGTGTAGTCTTCCACAATCCCCCACAAATTCTAAATGGAAAAGCCCCCCTCCCCCACGGCCCGCAAGGTGGCTCCTGCCAGCTGCCTGCCGTTCTGTGCTCTATGCGGACGGCTCGGGCGACTGCTCCCCACGGCGGACAGAAAGGCCTCTGTGAGCCAACCTACGGCTGCACGTCACACTCGGGACAGGCCCACGGCAGTGCTACTGTTTTTCCTGGCTGGCAATTAGGAACATTTGTTACATTTTGTTAACTTGCCATGTGCAATGAAAGATGTTGCTTGTTAATCAAACATAAAAAAATATTTCCGCCCTTGTGTAACTAAAAAAATAGTAAAAAGCAAATTTGGTTTTCTTTTATATGCTGCAATCACGCTTCACTGGAGCACACAGATATCAGTCACTTATGTCTCTTTAATGATTACATTAAAGACCTGTCCCTACAAACACATGTTAAGTCCAATATAAATCAGGAATCTGACACTGCAGGCATCTGCTGCCAACCCAAAAGGAAGAGCTGGGTTCCAATCGTACTCGGCCACACATGAGCTTTACGGTTTTGGATACGCTGTTTTCTTTCTGCCCTCGCTTTCCTGACCCAGAGATAAGGAGATGAGGATGGGCGATCTTTAAAATCCCCCTCGTTCTAAAATGCCAGGGCCGGCCTGAGCCGCTGCTGGCAAAGAGGAACAGAAACGCCACGAGTATTTCTAATGGAAATACAACTCCTCTGGGTGAAGCTAGAGCTTATCACTGATGACAATGCTCTGAGGTCCCTCCAAATGCCCAGGTGGAAAGGTTCTAGAGGAAGCACAGTCAGAGGAGGATAAGCCAGGGCATGGGCTGTCTTCCCCAGATGCCACCCATGCCTCTAAGCGCCCACTAGCTTTCTAATTACAGTACCTCTGAGTATAATGCTATAAACCAGTTGGCAAACGAATCCTAGTCGCTAGCCCTGCTGGTGGATCGGCTCATTCCTGCTGCCTGTAGCTAGATGTCTTGTGGAAGGAGACCTTGAACCGGCTGCTAATCAGAATCCCACGGGTTTGCAGAGTAATTCTTAGGTCCATGCCTGGAGACCGTGATCAGGAGCTGAGTTGTTGAAAAGCTCCCGGTAACTCTAACGTATGCCACTGCAGGCCTGGGGACAGCTGCCACGCCAGAGGGAGGACCCAGGGAAAGAGAGATGCCTTCAAGCTGGGGCCAGCGCCGGCCACGGGAGGCTGTGGCTGCCCTCGATGCCACGTGCTGACCCACCTTAGACCATGTGATTCCTGTTGGCTTTGGGCGCTCACACCCCGTGGTGATGACTCTGGTTGGAGTGAGAATGTAGTCCACAGTGAGGTCGTGATCCTCGAGGAGCGCTTCAGGTATGTCGACGACCTGGGCAAACAGAAGGGGGTCAAGGAGCTGACGGGAACACGCTGCAGTGCTCACGGCACTGTGCAGTGGAGGCTCCATCTCCACTGGGATGCGGCCTCACTGCCCCATCACTAAACAGGTCCAGGCCCGGCTGATCCATGCCACTCATGACACAGCACGGAGTGAAGGCAGAGACTGGTCTGCCTCTGCCTGCCTCTCCCCACCTCCCCCTCCCTCCCCGTGTTCCCCTCTCTCTCTCTCGGAGGAGCACGGTGTGGCTCTGTCGGCCACAGGAAGCACCTGGCAGTCGTGGACGATGGTGACCACTGGCGTCCCCTGGCTGACTGCTCCCATCGACGCCATCATGGCATATTCAAGGTCAGCATAACCTTCTCCCTTCCCAATTCTCCAGCCTAAGAGACAACGCAGAGAATCAACATCTGAGTAGGGTCCGGGGAATCACTCAGGAGTAAACTTTTCATTACGTCACAATGAAGGGAGGAACATGGACCCCATATCCCTGGCCTTCCACAGTAACTCCACAGGCGGCCCATTGAGAATGAACTTAAAGAGGAATCAAAGAGGAATAACAACACTGAATATGTACAGTGGCTAACACACAATGAAGTGAACGTCAAACCTTTTAAACATGCTACAAAAGGAAACTGAGCTTGCATTTATGTGAGTTTTATGCTAGCAGGACTCCATTTAAAAACAATGAAAGAGTTGTTTTTATTTTTTTAAATATATTTTATTGATTTTTTAGAGAGGAAGGGAGAAAGATAGAGTTAGAAACATCGATGGGAGAGAAACATCGATCAGCTGCCTCCTGCACACCTCCTACTGGGGATGTGCCCACAACCAAGGTACATGCCCTTGGCCAGAATCGAACCTGGGACCCTTGAGTCCGCAGGCCGACGCTCTATCCACTGAGCCAAACTGGTTAGGGCAAAGAGTTGTTTTTAAAAGGACTAAGAATAACTTCCTACTAAAGGCAAAATCTTTTTCGTCTCCTTCCCTTGAAAGGAAAATAAAAGCTCTAAAATCAAGGATATGTGATTTAAAATGGCAGAGCTACCCTATCACCCCTACAGCTCCTGAGGGAGGGTGGTGTAAACAGTACTAGTGCTATTTCTGCTAATTCGTAAATGGCAGCGAAACAAAGGGATTATTATCTGAGGCTACAGGAGGAAAGAACGCAGCAGGACAGTAAGCAGTAACAGGCCTCTGGCTCCCAAACTGAGCCAACAGGTTCCTCTGGGTAGCAGCCCATGACAGTGCAGAAATTCTGATTTCTACTTCACATCAGCCTCACCCTGAGAGTGTAAGCATCACTGCTCGTGCATCTGAGATTCAGATCTGATCGTGCTACATTTACAATTAAAAGCCTTCAACAGTGCAGGCAAAGAAATAAGAGAAAGACAACTCAATAGAAAAATAGCAAAAGATATGAACCGTCCACAGAAAGAGATGGGCAGATGAATAGCATATATATGAGAATGTTCAATTTCACTCGTAACTGATGCAAATCAAAAGGCACATGAAGCCCTGACCGGGTTGGCTCAGTGGATAGAGCGTCAGCCTACAGACTGAAAGGTCCCGGGTTCGATTCCAGTCAAGGGCATATACCTTGGTTGAGGGCGCATCCCCAGTGGGGGTTGTGCAGGAGGCAGCTGATCGATGTTTTTCATCGATGTTTCTAACTCTCTAACTCTCTCCCTTCCGCTCTGTAAAAAAAATCAATAAAATATATATATATATTTAATAAGGCACATGAAATACAATCAGATGGGCAAATAATTAAAGTTGGATGATTCTAGTGATTAACAAGGGGGTGGGGAGAGAGGCAAGGCATACGGCGCTGGGGGTGGGAGGTGGGCAGCCTTTCTGGTGGGTAATCTGACAACATCCATCAGGATTTAAAATCCTGTTCGGCAATTCCTCTCCCATGCACAGTCTCCTAGGCCCACGTAGGCCATGTGACAAGGTAACACCCCACTCTAGCGCCATCTGTGGGAAGAAACAAAGCCAAACCCTGAAGAAAACGAAATGTCCGTCAGCCAGGGCGATCAACAGGTCAGCCGGCTGTGCTGCCGGCAAAGGCCTTGGAGACACATCACCCACATGGCACCAAACGCTGCGAGTGCTGCTGCCACCCTGTGACACAGACACAGGATGAACACACAACACGCAGAGCACACGCGACACCTGTGTCTCAGGCGGTGCGGGTGTCACTGACACAGAAACTGCCGGCAGCGGGGTTTGGGAAAAGAAAGGCAGTGGGGCGGGAGGCGGGACGAGGGGACGGGGGGCGCGGGGGGAGGGGGGGTGACGCTTTCTGTGCCGTTCAAATTTCCCAAACACATGCAGGTGGTTTTGTTGCTTTAAGCAGGTGGTTATCTGGATGGTGAGATTTACAAAACATATGCTTCTTCATACATCCGAAGCTAAAAAAGGAAACCTCCGATAACCTCTGAAAGAAGAAATGTTTGCTCATTTTCCACTGCCAGATCAGTACAGTCCAAATCCTGTCACTGGCCTCAAGGCCTCAGGAAAGCCAGCCCCAACCGCAAAGGGCCCTGCTCCGAAAACCTGCCACCTCTCCTGTTGTTCCACCTGCCTCGGAAACAACTGGCATGCAAGGGCTAGCCCTGGTGTCACTTCTGAGGTGATGCCCTGCTCGAGGCTCAGAGGTCCCTCCTCTGACCCCGCTGCTGCCTGTCCTAACTCCCACCTGATGCCGAGCACATGGTCCTGCAACTCGGCTGCTGTCTGCTCCTCCCACTCACTGTGGGCCCCGGGCAGAGAACACCCTGCCGGCAGGGCTCCTGGCCCCTGGTAGGCACGCAGGAAAGGTGTGCTCATGTGCACAGGACAAAGTATCTGTAACTGTGCACAGGAAAAGCAAAACATCTCACATATTAGCTCAGAGAGCTGGGAAAAGACAGTAAGTAAACTGAAGGTGAAGATACTGCAGACCAGCATTTAAAAACACCAAGCTCAATGACCGACTTGGAGCATCTCTCACCAACTATTTACTGAAAACCTCTCCTGAAAACAGAACTTGACCTTGGCCAATTAATTTCAAAGAGAGAGTTTTGGGTGCCCAGCTGGCATGGCTCAGTGTTTGAGCGTCGACCTATGAACCAGGAGGTCACAGCTTGATTCCCGGTCACATGCCCCGGTTGTGGGCTCGATCCCTGGTGTGGGGCGTGCAGGAGGCAACCAATCAAGGGTTCTCTTTCATCATTGATGTCTCTCTCTCTCTCCCTCTCCCTTCCTCTCTGTAAGGACTAAGAATAACTTCCTACTAAAGGCAAAATCTTTTTTGCCTTTATCAAGGCCTTTATTGATTTGCCTGAAATCAATAAAGACATATTTAAATAAGAACAAACAGACAGACAGACAGAAAGAAAGAGTGTGGGGATGAGAGGAGAGAGAACACTTTCCTAGTGGGACCCAATCACACTAGGAACCACTGACTCCACCCAAGAACCAGCAGATTGTTTTCAAAGAGCATCAGGCTGGGCTGGGGCAGAGCAGTGCTGGGGGAAGAGGTCCCTCGGAAGCACAGGGGCCCACGCCTGAGGGTGCCAGGCAGCGCCGGCGCCACGCTGCTCACCGGCCCGCACCGCGAAGCACCAGGCCTCGCAGCAGGCGCGGGGCCCGTCCTGTCCAGGACGCTGCTGCTCCATAACAAACACAAGGTGCAGCAGTTAAGGTTTCCCACTCACTGGAGGCTCTCCAAGACCAGCTATTTACTGACACACTGCAAATAAACTCAGCTCCGGTGCCAGTTAACTTAAGGACAGAGGGGAAACCTTTCGCCATCTGAAGGGATTATCTCACTTTATTTTTCCTGTTGAGAAGAGTGGAAATACTGTAAAAGCATTGAGTGGGGCCAGGAGTGGGAGGCACGGAGTTGACTCTTCAAAATGAACGATGGATGCACTGGTTTTGGAAGCCAGGCATGCGACCAGAGGCTGAAATTCCTTACCGTCGGCGCCCAGAAGCCGAGCAGAGCCGGTGGAAAGCAGGCTGCAGGCCAAGTGGTCGCACTGGAGTTTCTGTTTGTAATCTTACCTTTTTCAGAAACGGCCACGGAGCCCACCACCACTAAGTCCACGAGGACCTTGGCGTCCAAGCCCACGGGAACACTGTAGTCCCTCACGCCCTGCGGACAGACACGGACCTGAGCTTCCCGGCAGCGAGCGGCTGCCCCGCCTCACAGCTCACAGGCGAGTGCGAGTCGGCATCAGCCTCCTGCGAGAAGCAGATGCACGCGCAGCCCCACAGCATGGCAGAAATGGAATTTCGGGAAAACCATTTTAGGATAATTTACCACAGTGTCTTCCCAGGAAAGATGCCAAGAGGGACTGACAGCACAAATGGAGAGGATATTAACCTCATGATTTTTAGCAAATAATTTCCCCACCCCGTGATCAGAACACAGGCAGGCGCAGGAGTCCCTCAGAACTTGGTCCAGACCCCTCTGCCCTGTGACCTCAGCAGGAGGAAGCTCTCTGGGCTTCAGTTTCCTCATCTTTAAGAAGGGGACACCACCCAGGCTTGTCGGGCTGGTGTTACGATGAAATGCTAACACGGAGGTACAGCATTTGGCACATAAGACGTGACCACATTAATGCAGCATGAAAGGCTGGAGGCCATGACCTCCGTGTATAGCATACTCACTTCTGAAATATTACTTATTCAACCAAAATGCACCAAAAGTACTCCCACGCGTACTAACTAGTGGAGGCCCGTATTTAACGAATAGGGAAGCTGATAGGCCGTGATTCTGATAACAAGGGCTACAGTTAATCTAGGAAACCAGATTGGAACGATGTTCGGAGCAGTACCTGGCAGAAGCAAATCACTGGATGTGGTATTGGCCCATGCCCCCTGTCTACAACTATATGACAAGCCACACACAGAATCAGTACACGAGATAAGTTTGGGGGACTCCCAACAGCCAAACTAGTCAACGGCCTAGGTGTTCCCACCACAGGAAAGCCTGTTTTCCCCACTCTCACAGTGGCCATGGAGACAGGCATCTCATGTCCACAGCCCTTGTCCCCACCTCAGGGTTAATGGGCTCAGTGTCGGGCAGCCGTCGTGAGCAGACAGCTGTGCGGAGTTCCTGGGTTGTAACTCGGTCTGTTACAATTCCTCTTCCCTCACTCGGCCAGCCTCACCGGCTAAGCCTCGCCAGACAGGAGTACACGGACTTATCATGTGAGTAGCACACTTTTCTGCCTGCCCGTGGGGTGGTTACCAGAACACTCCTGTGTCCGAGCAAATACAACGACAAGGACGACAGACACAGATGGCTGGGGCGTGACGGTGGCCGGGGGCTGAGGTGGTGAGGACAAACTCAGAGATTCATCTTCCAAGAAACAAGGCGCCCTCGGAGTCTCCTAGAGTAGATGTGCACTGTGGCAGTATTCCTGCCACTGAGCTTTGGCAAACAAAATAAAGATCGCACTAAAATCTGCCTCTGCGTGCGGACGTGGCCTAAGTGTCTCCCCACTTCACCACTTTCCCTATGCCATAAAGCACATGAAAATCTTTTGCAGTACATGACTCTGGATCTCTGATTTGGATCCAGTATCTCACGCTATAAAAATGCCCAAACCCTGCTGTTCAGTCCTTATTAAAGCTCAGCCATGAGAACGGGTCCGGCCTCCTCATGGGCCGTTATGCTTTCAGGAGTGCGTGTGTGGGACCAGCCAGAGCCGGCACTTCACGGGGAACTCCGGGCAGTAAGCAGAGTGGTGGCTCCCTTTCGGAGGGGAGAGGGATGCTGTTTCGGGTGACAGACCACTATAGCAGCCCCGACCTGGACCTCGATCCCAGGAAAAGACTCTGTTACTGTCGTGAGCCTGTGATTTACACGGATCACATCCCCTGTGGCTCCAAGACACGTGGGCTCAAATCTGCAGCCCAGGTTGCCAAAGGCAGAGGGTCACAGGGCTTGCAGTTTTGAGCAGCAACCTGAACCACTGCTGCCTCTTGTTCTTCTATCCTTATCTTCCCTTTGCTCCTTTCCCCACACATATTCTATTATTTTACTTTATTATGAAGTACTATTATAAGCCTCATCAATTCTATTTTTGGAATACAACAGGTTATCAATAAATAACAATAAAGCATTCAATTTTTACACATTAGAGTTAAGTGGAAAATCCCTGTAAGAAAGGAGTATCTTGATGCCCTATTTTTTATTCCAGTAAAGTAAGAATCAAATTACCTGGGTCTACTCTAGGAGTCTGAAAAACCACCAAATTCTATTTCTTTATCTGTAAACTACAAGACAAATTCCATTATAACACACACTAATGTAATAGTTACAAACTTTGGTTTTATTACATGGTGAGGCATTCAAGAAAATCTTACATATAACATCAAACATGTATACATATATATATATATATACACACACATACACACACACACACACACACACATACACACACACATATATATACATACCCATGTATACACATATACATATATAGGGTTTCCCTCTCAAATGTATACACACTATGTCTGTAGATTTTATTACATTTAAAAAATGAAATGAATTTTAACAAATACTGCCTTTATAACTATTCAGAGTGTGTGTGCATTTTTATATACATACATATGTATATATAAGCAATAATTAATTTGCAACTGGTGAGTCATTCCAATTGAAAATATTTTGGAAATTCTATCCTGTGTCCCCAATTGCTCTCACGGCCTTTGATAAAAATCTATAGACCACTAAACATCACAGATTAGCACTAGAGGGCGCCAGAGTACTAGGTACTTTGTTTTTCCTTTTCTTTCTTAACAGAACTTACAATTTGCCAGCTTGGTGCGAAACAGAAACCAAGTTACAAAAACAGAACCCAGGTATTCATAGTGTTTCTACCTGGCCCCTTAATGGCAGGTGCTGAATACTATTAACATCTCTGTTCATTTGACTTTGATAGAAATAAATTTCCAGCGTGTGGTGAATGACAGGCTATCCGCTATCCTAACTGAGCAGCAGCTGCAGCTGAAACACTTACCTGCGAGGTGGCACATTTTCTCAGGATGTCTTTAGTTGCCCCAGGGGGTGGTGTGATCCTATTAAATAACCCTGTTCTCAGTCTTGGTGTTGGAACCAACAATGTTTTTTTGCTCTTTTAAAAGAAAAACAATCGATAAATTACAAAATGAAATAGGAACTTTCTTGCATATGTTTTTAACATTTTTTTAAAATATATTTTATTGATTTTTCACAGAGAGGAAGGGAGAGAGATAGAGAGTCAGAAACATCGATCAGCCACCTCCTGCACATCTCCCAGTGGGGATGTGCCCGCAACCCAGGTACATGCCCTTGACCGGAATCGAACCTGGGACCGTTTAGTCCGCAGGCCGACGCTCTATCCACTGAGCCAAACCGGTTTCGGCTGTTTTTAACATTTCAGGAGTGAAACAAGTTACTATTATTTTCAACTTCTTGGTGTGTGCCAAGGAAATTACTTGTTTGCAAACAAATAAATAAAAGCGTGAGGGTTAACTTTATTTAGAGACACTACTTTACCCAGCCTTTCACAGGGCATTTGTTAAACGGCTAATTCCATTTCACTTGCCAATGAAAACTGTGACATGTAAAAAAATGACAACACAGATCCAAACAAAGGTCTGTTCTTACAAAATTTCCAACCATAACTCTCCCATGTTCCCGGTTCTCAGCATTAAGTACTATATAGCTGCTGTTTTAATTCTAAACTAGTCGCTACAGCTACATTAACAATGTTATGCCAGCAAGCATTTATCTCAGGTTTGCTGTTCAATAAATCACAATCTAAAAGGTCAGCACTTGATAGAATCAATATTATATATTCATCTGTGTCAACAGCCCTTATCTCCTACAGTGGAACCTCGGCTCTCTAACTTGGCTGTTCGAGAAGCGATTTGTTCGAAAACCAAATCATTTTCCCCATTAGAAATAATGTAAATTGAATTAATCCACTGCAGACTCAAATGATTCCCTGTTTTAGCCTTTCTTCTATACAGTACATGTCTAATGCACTGTTTAATCTGTAAATACTTTTTTTCTTAAATTTATCGAACCACCCCCTACTAACTGTTAGGTCAGAGAGAGCCCAGTATCGGATACATGCAGACATGTGACGAGATAATGGACTCTACCTGGCATTTGTAACAGATCAGCGTGCCAGACACAGATACAGGCTTCTCCCTGAATCTGCAACGACCCCCCACACAGATACTGACTCGTTCCTGAATACCTGGCTGACCCCTGCAGCTGAAACTTCCTCAACTGAATACCTCAGCTCATGTCCCCGCCCCTCACCCAACCGCAGTATAAAAAAAGCGCCCCCCTCCCTGTTGGCGTGAATCCACGTGCCCTGTCCTTGGGGGTACGTGGGTCTCCCGGGGACGCAGAAATAAACCTTTTCCTTTCCTTTCTTTTCTGATTCACTGGACTCTCTATTTCTTGCGCCGCCTCCTGAGCCACCTAACCTAACACTAACCTTAAATGAATTTTTCATGTATCATGCCCCCAACATGCTCTCCTGGGCTAACTCCCTTTCATTGATTCAATCAACAAGTTTTTCCACCTATTCAATTGCCTGTGACTGTGGTTTTGGGAGCACTTTCACACCCTTAGCAACATCAGCACTCCAGATGGCCTCTTTATGTTTTAAAAATTGTGCTAATCACCAGCAACAAAATCCTTCTCTCCTTGTTTATTGTCTAAGAGACACTTTTTGTCTTGCTGAGGTATCAGCATGAAAGGGCTGTCAGGTTGAAAAGTGAAGTTTTGGTTGACAACTGAGATACTTTTTTCTGTGAACCAAATTGGTCAACATGGGAGCCGCTGGAGAAACGAGGTTTGACTGTATTTAGTCTCACACTGTGAGTGCCAGAGGACACAGGGCTTCTCAGAGTGGGTGCCCTGGGAGCAGCCACAGGAACCCCTGGGCACTTGTTAGAAATACCTGGAAGCCGGCCCAGCAACCTGCTTAACAGCCCACCTGGTCAGTGGGGAGAACCACTGCCCACGGGCATCTCTGTTGATCACCCAGGGGAAGGCCACAGGCAGTCCTAACATTTATAAAACCTTTTTTGTAAAAAATAGTGTGCCTCAGTTTTTGTGCAGGAAAAGCCAGCCTGAGACCAATAAAAGACCTCTGAAATCGCCGAAACCGGTTTGGCTCAGTGGATAGAGCGTCGGCCTGTGGACTGAAAGGTCCCAGGTTCGATTCCGGTCAAGGGCATGTACCTGGGTTGCGGGCACATCCCCAGTAGGAGATGTGCAGGAGGCAGCTGATCGATGTTTCTCTCTCATCGATGTTTCTAACTCTCTCTCTCTCTCCCTTCCTCTCTGTAAAAAATCAATAAAATATATTAAAAAAAACAAAAACAAAAACAAAAAACCTCTGAAATCAGTCTGGCTTACTTAAATAAACATTTTCAACCACAGAGAAGAGTATTTCCTACAAGCAATGACCACATGCCATCCTCCTTTTGAGTGCTAACTCGTGTTGGGCTCCTGGCATTTGCTGTCTCCAGATGACTCTGCTACACTGAAGGTTGATTCCGGTTCCTCCCTCTTTTCTGGAAGCTGCTCACCATAGCTCAGCAGATCTCAACCCTAGTTGTACGATAGCATTTCCAGACCCACTCAGGGCCTCTGACTCAGAACCTGACTTCGGTGACAGACATCTTCAAAGCTCTCGGGAAGGTACTGACCTGCAGTGAGTGTTGGCAAACGCAGGCAAGGCCAATGGTTCTCAAGCACAAACCAACCCAAGGCCTGGGGTTGGGCCGGGGAAGCCAGGTGTGGTCTGCAGCACATGCGGCACCATCCCTGCTTGCACTCAGGTGGGACTGGGGAACCTGCAGTTTTATCTGCTTCCTACATGGTTCTTAACCCACTACATGAAACCACTGATGAACTTGTAGCCCTAGAGCATAGGGACTACAGGTGACATTGTGTGCTTTTCACCACTATGTCCCTGTGCCTGGCAGAGCCTGAAATACAGCTTGGCTATTTATTTCCCCTGAATCAATAAAGTGACAAGGAGGACTCAGTGTCCCATCCCGTCTCCACCATTCCTGACGTGTGACTTGGTCAAGACACGTGACCTCTGTGTCTGGTTTCTTCAATGTCATATGGGAAGAGAGATCTCTCCTACTGGGTTGTCAGCAGGATTAAACGAACATAGGAAAATGTTTAGATAGAAATGGGTTTCATATATACTGTGGGTCCTTCACTGCTGCTGCTATTAAAGTGCTTTGCTGGCCGAAAAACAAGGCTGGCAAGGAAGAATGCTTCCAGAAGAGCCTACATCAGAGGCTTCTTGGGGCTGAACCGCAAACAGAAGACAGAGTCACTTCCTACCCCGGAGAGTTGAAAGAACCAGAGCGGGACCCCTACACGCTCCCCGTCCTGGTAAAATTACTTTCTGGGACTCCTTCCACCACGTGGGATGGAGGTGCCCTGCAGAGCCAAGGCTTCTCCGGAGGCGCCCAACCGAGTCACCACACGAGGCGAGGGAGGGCGAGGCAGAATTCCGAAGACCCTGCCCGAGGCTCTCAGCACCACATTCCCATTATCAGCGGCAATGTGTTCAGCAAAACATCACCCATTCATAAAATCAGTGGTTATTTGAATGTTATTGCTTTTAAAGTTTTGTTTGCACTGAATTTATATGCTTATGCTCATCTTATCATTGCATAAGAGCTATGAGCATTAACATTTATGTTTACACTTATTTTTATGTTTACACTTATTGAATTATAATAATTTAAAGCAACCCTGGAGAATTTTTTTTTTCTTGAAAGGGGGCCTATATAGTTAAACACTGTTCTAATTTATATATTTTGGGGACGCACCAGATTCCTCACTCATGGGTTATCCCATTTCAAAGAACTGCAATGTTACAAAGGTAGCAGAAAGAATAAACATATTGTAATCTTTCCCTTCTGATGAAGCACATCAGAACTGAGAATGCCTCAACGTCATCATCTTGCACGTCTTTTATCTTTGAATTCCGGAAATATCCAGGACTCCTGACTGACTGACTGCTGAGCAAGTGAAAGACTTCTGGACTGTTCCTGGAAAAACAACTCCAGGCCACGTTCTGTGTGGGAGGGACTAGAAGAGCCAGCCTCTGAGTACAGGACTGCACGCATTTACCAGCCACCTGACGAGCACCTTCCCGTCAGGGCCAGGGCTCCGTGCAGGGCAGTGGGATTACCTGCAGTGCCAGCAGCCGAACGCCTTCCAGCGGCTTGTCGGGGTCCACTTTAACTTCCTGTGTTCTGGCAAAAACTCCGAGGTCTTTGATGCTTTGGCAAGCCAGATAAGAGCCCTGGGTAGGCAAGCAGACAGAGTTGCACTTACGTCGAGGACGAAGAAGCGAGCGTTTTTCTGGGGAGCATCAGGGTTGACTTTAATGGTCCTGGCCATTTTGAACGCCTGCAAGCGTGGGAAGTGCTCAGCGGCCCGAGCAGCGCCCTGTGTTAAAGGCAACGGCACGTTACTGAGGACAACTACAGCCTGAGCACCTGCTCCAGCATCCCTCCCAGACAGGCGGGAGCACTCATCGTGCGTGAGACAGGACTTGAGAGTCACACAGAGAAACGTCTAAGACAGCAGTCAGGGTGGAGAGGGGCTAAGCTGGCCAAGCCCCAATTTGTTACTGAAATAAAACACACTCCCCCAAAGGGTACAAATCATGTGTAAGCTTCATGAATTTCCACAAAAGGAACACACCTGCGAACCACCCCCTAAACCAGGACAGAGCGTATGAATCCAGGTTAGAGCACTAGCCCGAACCCCCTCCCTCTCCTGGCTGATTTCCTTCTGAAAGATCATCACTGATTCTGTGCACCTTTCATCCGTTCCCTGTACTTCATGTACATCTCTCTCCCTGGAGAAACAAGCACTAAAACAAAACAAAGTAGCGACAAAACCATCCAAAAGAACAGTTTTTCAGAAGAACAGGATGGCCTCGGGACCAGCTCAGCTAAGGACCGGGAAAGGGCTGGGGCCTGCTTCTTGGGAGCCGGGCTGGGAGAGAATGTCCAGCCCAAATGGGGGGTGATGGCAAGCACATGGGCCACGTCCTTCGGGCCTGACAGAGCAGTGCATTTTCAGCAAGCGCTTTCTTTTTCTCTTGGCAAACACGTATGCCAAACATTAGGGCTGTGCATGTTGCCTTTTTCAGGCAAACTAGTTTCTACTAATACTATCACAGAGACACCTCTGATTGTCTTCTATTCTGAACGCTGGGAGCCTGAGGCCCAGCGTCATCAGGGCCTGATGAAGCCTTCCTCCTTCCAAAGGTGCCAGCAGTGGGCTGACGTCTCAGAGCGCATCACCCTTTCTACCCTTGGGGAACCAATTTTGTAAAAAGGCACCACAATAATGTGCGTTCAGCCAGGATAAACATTTCATTCTGCATCAAATAGTAAACGGTAGACTGAGCATCATGTCGACAAGACAACCAACCAACCCACCCTGCACAGAAAGGCAAGGGGCCCCGGGAGTGAAGGGAGGTCCCGCAACACAGAAACACCCCGCCTGGTGGTTCGCATTTCACACCATGAAACAGGGTGGTAACTGTATTATTACCAATGCTATTCATTTAGGAACACCCCGTTTCCCTTTTGAATGTTCTGGGGATGCGTCAGTACCTTGAAGTTGGGAATCCTATGATGGACAGGCCGGGGAAAGTCAGCTATATTTTGTGATTCCATGTAGTCCCAGATCTGCTCCCGAATGTCCTGTTTGGAAATACCTATCATAACAAGGGTGCCTGATTAAACAGTTGCAAGGAATTCCACGGCGTGTGCACCCTAGGGACTCTCCCATGCCTGCTTCATGCACCCTCCACTCTCTACAGGCCAGACAGAATCTAGGCCTTCTGATCGATCCATCATAAAATCAGGGTTAGTGGTAAGTCCTACACCCATGACAAATCATTGAAGTCCAACAACAGAGTAAACTCAATATAATCCCAAATTTTGACACAACTATCGTAAGGCTATTACATTATCACTTTCGCTAACAACCCAGAAGCCCTACAATATCCCTAACAGGATACGGACTGCGTGGAACACAAGAAATGCAGACATTGGGGCCGGCCCTGGAGAGTCAATTCATCACAAACATCTGAGTGACTCCCGTTTAGAAAGCAATGGGCTAATTGGGAGGGGAGGCAGAGAATAAAAGGGCACGTCCCTGCCCTTGGAACGTTATGAAAACAGAGGAAATGGTCAGAATAATAAGAGGCGACATATATTAATGTGTGACATGCCCGACCCTGCTGTAGCTGCGGGTCAGGTCAGCCTGGGTTTCACTCTTCTTTCTCCCTCTGGCTCTGAGCTCGGTCCTGGCACGTGGCAGCGTCTCTCCAAAGACCTTTTTTCTCATCCCACTGGGTTACCAGCAGCGGCCCGCTGTGCAGGTTTCCTGCTGCACGCGCAGGCATGGCAGGACCCCGGGCGCACCATGAGCCCTACATGATCTCTGCCAGGCAATCTTGCACCCAATCAGCCCGGGGACCCTGGGCCGAGGCTCCCAGGCGCCGGGGCCACCTGAGGCCTCACAACGCATCTGCTAGGAAGACGATGACCACGTGCCCAGCGTGTCGGTAAAACTGGGGTCGTCCTGCCCCTGCCTCGGCCGCGAGCCTCAGTTTCCCGCGCTGTAAGCAGAGGTGATAGGGAGGGCGGATCTCTCGGGAGCAGCGGCGACAAGTGTGCGGAGCTAACGGACACCGCTCCAGCCGCAGGAGCCCTCCGCCCTCCGAGCCCGCGATCGCGGTGTCCCGCCCGGGCTCGACCCCAGCCCTTTCCGCGTGACCCTCCGTCTCTCCCACGGCCCCTCCCCGCCCACTCCCTTCCCTCCGAAGTCCCTCGGCCCCCGGCCAGTCTCGAGGACCGGACCTTCACCCGCCCTGGACTCCATGGCGACGCGGTCAGTGCGCGACACCCGGGCCGGTCGGCACAGAGTGACGTCACCCGCGCGCCCGCCCCCCGCGCGCGCGCCCGCCCCCGCGCCCTCCCTCGCGCCTGCGCGCTGGCCGCGGAGCTGGGCCGGAGGGTCGCGGAGCCCTGGCGGGAGCGGCCGGGGACGGGCGCTGCCTTTGTCTTTCCATGGAGCCCGTCGGCGATGAGCTTCTGCTCCACGTGCGTGCGCCGGGCGCTGTGGCTACGGCCGTGGACGAGCCCTGGGCTGTGGCAGCGACGCCAGTCCCAACGCACCCGCCTCTTTAGCCCCCGAGGGCGCCTCCTCCGGGAAGCTGCCCTGATTGCCCCTCCAGGACGACATTCCTCTGCTCTGAGACCTATAGACCCGGCTGGGCGGGGGCACCGGTTTAAAATGTCAGGTTTTCAATGGAATGGAATTCACTGGGTCTGGTCGGGTCCCCCCCCCCCCCGCCCCCCCCAGCCCCTGGTGAGTGGTAAGCAGGCACTTGGAGCCCACACCCCGCCGGTTTCACCGTGGCCTCCGCATCTCCTGGCAGCCCGCGTTTGCTCCTCTACATCATTCACCCATTTGTCCTCTCATTCATTCAACACACAGGATGAGTCCCCCTAAGGGCCGCTGGAAGACATGGGGCTGAAAGGACAACCAAGTCCATGGCCTCCCTGACTCCAATCTAACAGGACGGATGACGAGGAGGGTCAGTTTGGCCGCAGCATTAGGAAAATGATCCCTTTCCCCCAGACAAAGAGGGGGGATTAAGCCTCTAGTAACCACTCCCTGTGAGTGATTTCATACCCTTAGCAACATGCGTAGTGCATTATGAGCACTCAAGAAGTGGTACCCACTTTTCAAAGTTCTTCATGCAATCTTCATACAGTCCTTACAACAAATGTGAAATAGACGAAGCAAAGCACTTTTTTAATTTTTATTTTTATTGATTTTAGAGAGAAGGAGAGTGAGATAAAAAACACCAATGTGATAGTAAAACATTGAAGCCACCTCCTCACACACCCTGACCGGGGATCGAACCCACAACCTGGGTATGTGCTCTGACCAGGAATCCAACCCGCCGCCTTTTGGTGTGCGGGAAGACACTCCAACCAACTGGACCACACTGGCCAGGGGTGGACAAAGCATTTTAATACTCACTTTACAGATGTGGAAAATGAGTTTCTGAGTGTTCCAGTGACTTATCCAGTGATCAGAACTGATCCTAATCTATTTGCATTCATCATGTAGAAGGTGATTAAAAGCAGTAATAAACAATGCTACTAAAGTGCCAGGCTCTGGGCTAAGTGCCATAGAGGTCAGACCTAAACATAATCCCCGCAACAACTGTAGGCAGCAAATGTGACTGGCATTCTAGAGAGGAGGGAACAGGGACTCAAGACGTTGAAGACCCTTGCCCAAAGCCACCCAAATGGGAAGGGACAGAGCATGATGCAACCCCCATGAGGTCATTGCAAACCTGCAGCTCCTGGTCACAACCCTGCATGCCCAGGTGGCATCCTTAGCATTAATGTATAAAGACATGAACGGGCCTTAACGCTACATTAAATGGCCAGGTCTTTTGCCAGGCCTGCGAAAGGAGTACAGAGCATTGCATTGGACAGTGGAGGTTATAAAATGAAATCTCTCAGAGAGGTTGGGTGTCCTTTCCCAGTTCAGGAAAACACAGTAGATCGGTGGAAAGTATTCTATGCAAGTTGACCTGGCCCCAGCCGCTGAAATGAGCATGACTCACTGTTAGCCAGCCTGCTCAGGACTCGGCGAGCCCGCTAGAGGTGTTAGCTTTCGGTGTTCCATACAATCCTCTTAGATTGACAGGAGATGGCGGTGTTGAGAGATGAAGTCCAGCACCCAAGGTGCTGGGCATTGAGAGCTAACCCTCTCCCCACGTGTGCCCCTGAAATGCCAGCATTTCCAGCCCCCCCCCCCACACACACACACACTTCACAGGATGGGCGTAAAACATGAAACGTCAGATTCAGCTTTCAGCTCTCTGACTTCTTTGTGCATCATATTCACAAACACAACTCCTCAAACTATAACGGAAAAAAACAAGTGAATAATTCTCTAACAACAAAGGCTGCTGCTGAGAAGCTCGAAGATGCCCTTCCACTTTCTGGCGTTCTTCTGCCAATGCTCTGTTCTGCGCTATGTGCACTCTCCCATCCTGGGGTCAGGGGAGGCCTGTCTATCAGCACGTGGCATCTCACGAGAGACTGTACTTTGGCAAGACGAGGATGCCTGGCGTGTCACAGTGATGCCTTGTCATTCCCACTGCACCACCCAGGCCAAAGATGTCACTTGCCATGCCTCAGGCAGCCTCTTGCCTCCCTGCTCTGGCCCCCTTCAAGGACCTGCCTCCTCTTCCCCTTCATTTGCCTTCTCCTCCTCCTCATCCTCACCCTTATCTTCCTCCTCTCCCTCCTCCTCCTCCCCTGCTTCCCCTTTCTCGCCCTCCATGTACCTGAATTCCACCTGCATATCTTCCAGCTGTGACCGTGGCTCCCTACTGCCTCCACCTGGCAAAGCACAAACTTCTCACCTGGACAAGCGAGGCCTTGCTTGACTGCCGATGGCATGCCTACCTCATCTCTCTAGGCCAAACAACACCCCTATCAATCCAGCCCTGCCCTTCTCCTCCTGCTGGGTTTTGTTCATGTTTTTTTCCACCCCAGAGATGCCACCCTGCCCCGACCCCCAATTTTCACAGATCAAAAATCCCACCCCCAAGTTGGCCTGGAGGACTATTAGGAGGGAAGGGTGGGGCACCCACAAACTCTTTTAACAAAGCAGGGAATCCACAAACACATGAAAGCTGGGGGGGGGGGCGGGGGGAGCAGTGAAGGCGAAGAGGCATTACTTACAGGCACAGGGGGAACTCGAGGAACTGAACACACAGCCCTTCCTGGAATCACGTGGGTCTTGTTTTCAAAGGCCACCTCCCACCTCCACCCCCACCCCCAGCCAATTTCTTCTAAGTAAACTTATTACCATCTTTAAACACAGAGCAGGGAGGCAGCGGATCATAGAGATTGTCACCAAGAAAAGACATAGCAGTGGAGTCTATTTTTTCCAGAAACACGGGTGCCTGCCAGAAGAAACAGTGACAGGAGCTAAGGGTGTCTGAGTGGGAGAGGGTGGTGAGCAGATGCTCTTGTCATCTTAACGACTTCCTGCTCCGGGGTTTAACCGGGCGATGTATGATGCTCGTGCTCATTATAGTCAGTGTGGTTCTTCCATCGTCCCGCGGCGGCAGTCACTGATGTCACTGCGCAGTGACGGAGCCAAGTGACGGCTTCTCCCGAATTGCAAACGTTCACGATAGAGTTGTCTGGAGCCGCATCTAATACTTAATAGATGTAAGAATGTGTAATAAGCTCGCACGCCACCCAAAGGTTGTTTGAAGCAAGTCTTTTCCCCCAACTTGAGGTTTGCTGATGAAATACAGGATTCCTGTTCCAGTTGGTTTCAGAGAAACGATGGTATTTCTAGGGTACACAGGTCCCATGCACAGTGCGGGCATCTGTACTTTTATTCACCAAACCTGACAACTTGCCGTATCAAGGAAAAAGAAGGCCGTTTTCCTCACCCAGGTCTCAAGGCCCAGCGTGACTTCTCCAAGCTTCCCTCGATCCTCTCTCTCCCTTTGCTGAATCATAGTTTGCTCAGCCCCGGCACCCCCCCCCCCCCCCCCTGTCTCAGTACATGGCGGCCACAGGAGGGACGGCACCAGGAGCTCCCAGGAGTCCTCCTGCACCCACAGGAGCGGCAGAGGGCCCACTGGCAGCTCCTCCCGGCACTGGCCATGAGCACAGTGCCTCCGCCCGGCGAGGGCTCCCTGTGTTCGCTAAAAGTAAAGTTGCAGCCTGAGTCCCAGCGAGGCCAGCCTTGCGCCTGCGCGGTGGGAACCAGGGAGCACTGGACCATGCGCCGAAAATAAACGCCAGCACGTGCTTGAGTTTGAGTCGGGGTTTGAACTGCTAAATGGCAGACTGTGCCTGCGGTTATGGCGGGAGGGGTGTGGGTCTCTGAAGGCTCCCCCCCCCCCCCCCCCCCCCGTCAGCCTTTGTTCAGTTTATAATTTCAGGGCATGGACTCCATCCCAAGTAGCACTGGGTGCGGGGTGCAGTGGGGTGCACAAGGCAGACCAGGTCCCTCCCTGCCTGCCTTCCTGCCCTTTACATGGTGAGGCGGGCGAGGGTCGGGGGTGGGGGCAGATGACAAACAGAGGAGCAGCCAGGATCCCATGAGACAGGGTGGAGTTAATCAGGATGAGGGGTGGGTAAGGGGAGGAGGCGGAAGGAGGTGGGTGTTTGGGGGAGGCCTCAGAGGAAGTGGCAAGGCAGGAAGGAACCCAGAGACCCAGGCAAAGGGCAGGGCACGTGCAGAGACCCTGTAGAGGGTCTGGGCTGTGCGGTGCACATGTGCACAGGCTGGGAGCCAGTGGGAGAATGGCCTTGGCTTTCTGGGGATTCCTGAAGGTGAAGAGCAGCCAGTGCCAGCAGGGTGGAGCCACTGCGGCTGACTTCCTTCTGTCTTGGGTGGGTCCCTCTGGCACCTGCCTCAGCTCCTGCCCCTCTGAGACCTGGCAGCCATGCTGAGGCACCAGCCAAAGCTGCCCCCTGACTGTGATTCCAAGCTCAGCTTACCCCCTGGGGCTCAGAGCACCCACCCCACAGGCTGTAAATTGGCTGAAAAACAGATCACCTCACCTCTTGCTCCCCATGGCCTTGCCCAACCATCCCAGCCCTGCCTGCACCTCCCAAGGGGCAGCCTGCTTCACAGGCTCCGATAATGAGTCACGGACCCTACAGGGTTAATGACAGGGTTTCATGTTGGGGATGTAAAAAGCCGAAGCTTCATAGACC